GGGTGGTTTATATATAATATGATATATATGTCTTGTAAAGATGGGAAATACCCAGGGTGGTTTATATATAATATGATATATATGTCTTGTAAAGATGGGAAATACCCAGGGTGGTTTATATATAATATGATATATATGTCTTGTAAAGATGGGAAATACCCAGGGTGGTTTATATATAATATGATATATATGTCTTGTAAAGATGGGAAATACCCAGGGTGGTTTATATATAATATGATATATATGTCTTGTAAAGATGGGAAATACCCAGGGTGGTTTATATATAATATGATATATATGTCTTGTAAAGATGGGAAATACCCAGGGTGGTTTATATATAATATGATATATATGTCTTGTAAAGATGGGAAATACCCAGGGTGGTTTATATATAATATGATATATATGTCTTGTAAAGATGGGAAATACCCAGGGTGGTTTATATATAATATGATATATATGTCTTGTAAAGATGGGAAATACCCAGGGTGGTTTATATATAATATGATGTATATGTCTTGTAAAGATGGGAAATACCCAGGGTGGTTTATATATAATATGATATATATGTCTTGTAAAGATGGGAAATACACAGGGTGGTTTATATATAATATGATATATATGTCTTGTAAAGATGGGAAATACACAGGGTGGTTTATATATAATATGATATATATGTCTTGTAAAGATGGGAAATACCCAGGGTGTCTGGATCCTGTATGGTGCTTTGCTAACTTTGAACTTGTTAAATGCTGATCAGCAAATGACAGCAGCTGAGAGACATAGGATTGTAAAAGGAACTGCTGAATTAAACCAGTCTAGATACTTTAGGGATGTCTTAATTTTAAAATGGAATTCAGAAACTGTATTGTGTTGGGGGGAGAAGTTACGCTTTTGTTTCCACAGGAAATGAAAGGCTGTGAATTCCTTCAAAATAGAGACCAGATTTGACTCGCTGAAAATCTTGGCTATAGACATAAATAAGCCTAGAAAAACTAAAAGACTGTTTACATATATGTTTACATACATACATACATACATAGTTGACATATATGCCAATCCCTTGACATACAGGAACAGTTCTGAGACTGGGTGAGACAAAATAAATATTGTTGGTTACAGGGTCCTCATGACTTATTACATGCCATCCTTTCAAATGGCATGGATAGAGCTTTATACAGTACAAACAAACTTAAAAAGCTGACAGATGTCTTTTACTTGCCCAAACATAAAACAAAAAAATCATCTTTGGCTGGCTTGTGTGCAATGCACAGTCCATACCTGTGTTAATGCAGATATGTATGTTACCTTTGTTAGTTTGTATGCTTTCAGAGAAAGGAGACCAGACACCAATGAAAACAGGTGGCCCAGGTGATCCAACCTGCCAGAGTACCCCTGATGCAGTTTCCTCAGAGTTCTGCATCCAGAACAGCTTCAAGGCTGCTGGCTGAGATGGTCCAGCCGCACAGACAATTTCAGCCAGAACGTCAGATAAGCCTTGTACTTTCCCATTGCACATAGACAGAACAACCAATGTTATAGCTGATTTTTTTAGGACTTGACCATTATCTCAATTTTCTCAGGGTCCCCTGGGGATGTTACTGCACCTAGACAACAGGAAACAGTCTAGAGAACATAATGCCCACATTCCCAAGAGGTGGGTGGGTGATTTTTGGTCATTCAGTGGCTCTTGATGTTTGTCATGATTTAGTGGGGATATAGGATTATAGAATATAAAGATAACTATTTATCTCAAATATTTTATGTTGGTGTGGACTTCTATATATTGATACAAGGTTATTTTTGTTATATCATATATATGTTTCTACTCTTGTACCTATGAGCTCATTTAAGAATGTAATATAGGCCAGGCATTGGTGGCGCATGTCTTTAATCCCAGCACTCGGGAGGCAGAGGCAGGCAGATCTCTGTGAGTTCGAGGCCAGCCTGGTCCACAGAGCGAGTTCCAGGACAGCCTCCAAAACAATACAGAGAAACCCTGTCTCAAAAAACCAAAACCAAAAAAAAAAAAAAAAGAATGTAATACAAAGTTATAGTCTTTGAAAGTTACTATTACAAAAAATTGCAGGTTAGTAGTTAGTCATCTATAATGACTTATAGTCATGTTAGGTATGTTTTCAAGGTTAAACATGTATTTTAGATAGACAGGTGATCTTCAAATGCTTTAGGGACCTTCAGAACATGGCATTTAATATGTTTAATAACCTAAGGCTTTTCATGACAATGAGACACATCTGCTTCTGGCAGCACCAATCTACTTCATAAAAGGATGATAGGCATTGGAGAGCCTCCATATAGAGTTTGCATTCGTTGTGGCAAAGCTGCCATTGGACAAGTACTCTTGCCCTGACTGCTGACAGTGTGTTGTCCAAATTGGACAAGTAGGACACAAAGGAAAAAGACTGACAAACTTTGCTAAGAAAAATTGCAACAGTCCTTCAAAATTCCTGCTTCACAGAAAAGTTTGTCAGATATTCTAGGCCCACAGACCAAAGTTGGATGCCCCAACATTGCAGAGGAAGCTTGGGTGACTATTGGCCAGGCAGCCAGATGTCTCTGCCATTTCTATAGTTTTGGAAGTTGCTTGCTTTGCACTTCCTGTTTACTCAGGTAATATTATATCCTGGGGTCTCTGATGAAGTTGAAGATGAAATAGTTATAGTTTTCCTTATTACCAAATTCAGAAAAGAAACACATAAAAAAGTAATGTTTATAAGGTTGAGAAGCATAAAAGCTTAAATTGTTTATCTAAGAAAATGTTTTGAGGTCTACAAACATAATTTTGGATTGGTAATACAAGTTAGGATAGAAAGTTAGAAAGCAAATTAGGTATACAACAAGACAGATAATGGAGTATTTTCTCTGAATTTTCCAAATTCAAATGGGCTGGATATTGTAGTAAATGTAATTCTTACATGACAATTGTTCTTATTGTATATAGTCTTACTATGTTAAAGCTAGAACCTTTCTTTTTATTTAGACAAAAAAGAGGAAATGTTGTGGAATATTTGTTTAACTATACAAAGATGTATTGCATTTGTTTAACTATGTAAAGATGTGTTGCTGTTTTACCTTGCCTGCTTGTGGAACCTGACTGGTCTAATAAAAAGCTGAATGGCCAATAGCTAGGGAGGAGGTATAGGTAAGACTTCTGGGCAGGGAGATTAAGAAAGAAGAAGAATTTAAGATTAGAAAGGAAGGGAGATGACAGGCACCAGCCAGTCAGACATGGAAACAGGAAAGTAGGACATATAGAATGAAAGAAAGTAAAAAGCCCAGTGGTAAATCATAGATCAAGAGAAACATGTTAAATTAAGTTAAAAGAGCTAAGCTAAGACCAAGCATTCATAGTTAATAAATCTCCATGTTTTTATTTGGGAGCTGGTTGACAGTCCAAAGAAAATTCCAACTACATACCCACAGTAATGGTCACTGAAATGTGAACCATGTAAAGCTGTCATCTGGTCAGGTGGGTACAAAGCTAGACCCTCTTTACAAGAAACTCACTCTAAAACAAAGATACAGACAAAGGCAAAACACTCATGAGAGATATGACATAAACTTGCATAACACGAAAGCTGGGATGGTGTTTTAGCTCATTCTGTGCTGCAATCTAAAATATACCCAATCTTATCAAGAAATGAGGCTTACATTGCTGGAGAGATGGTTCAAAGGTTAGGAGCTCCTGCTGGCTATCCAGCTCCAGGGTTTCCTCAGAGGGCACCAAGCACACACATAGTATACATACATACATGCATACTACTTTTTTTTTAAGAAGAAAGGAGGCTTAGTTAGCTCTCAATGTTGGCACCCTAGTGAGGGACCCACCTGGCTGCACTTCAGTATGGTGTAAAGAGAGCAGGTCAAGCACAAAAGAAGCATATGTGCAAATAAGAAAGAAAAAAAATAAAGGCTCTTTTCATGAGAGTCCTTTCTTGCACAAATCATCCGTTCCTACAGGATCTGACCCAGGAGTGGTCATTTTTAAGAAGAACAATTTACTCATCAGGCCCACCCCTTAATGGCTCAACAACACCATTCTGAGGCCTAAGTTCATAGCAAATGGGCCTTCAGGACAAAACCACCCTAACTCAAGCTATATGAATTCAGACAGAAGCATACATTAGAACAATAAACGAGACCAGGAGTTGAGAGAGGAGATTACATGACAACAGAAGATGCATTTTTCTGGTATAATGTGTAGAATTAATTTGGCCAGTTTGTGACAGATGGTGGAGTCAGTTATCCTTATTAAACTGAAAAGCATTCAAATGATCTACAGGTAAATTTTAGAAGTAGTATGCTTCATCATTTCTATAATAAGCAGAAAACCCCCACTTTTCAAATTTACAGGAGATGAAGGATGAACGTGAGCAGGAATTTCTTTACAGGTTCTGCACCCTCTCCTCGTTGGGTGAGGTGGAAGCAGGCTCTCAGTGCCCAGGTCTGCCTCAATCCCACCTGCTTCTGAAGCACTGGAGGGGAAGTGGTGGCGGCTAGGGAGGGGGACAGAGGACCAGACCCACAGATACACGTGCAGAGGGGGCTTCCAGCTCTTTTAGACATGTGGGTTACATACGCGGCTTCATTTGGGAACAGGGCTAGAGATTTGTGTTTGTGTGTTCTGACTTCAGGATCCACTCTACAGGGCTGGGCATGCTACACAGGTGCTCTACCACTGAGCTCCACCACCAGCCCAGAAGAGTTTTGACAGTGCCGCCAACAGTGTAAAATCAGTATTTTAAAACCTTAAGAGTGAAAACAGGAGTGGCTGTGTCATTCATGTTGTCTCATACAGGAAAAAGGAAAAAACAAGAAGTGAAAATTCTGTGTCTTGCTTTCTGGAGCAAAGGTCTCTTCAGACTATTCACACAGACACAGACCACAGACCGAATTCCTGGCAGGGCTATAGGTGTAAACAGACATGTCTGTGAAATATTACACCTAATGCTAATACAGACACATGTAATTATACTCACAAGAAGGCCTGAAACATCGGAATACTTCTTAGCTGGCTTAAAAGATGGAGGAGCATCAATACTAAAGTCTAAAAAGAAGAAAGAAAAGAGATGATCACATAACCTTCAAAACAGCCCACTCTTTCTCCTTTATTCCATGTTCTCCCTTATTCTTTATTCGAAGCTAACAGATGGTAATAGTCCTGAAATGTTCCTCTGTGATTACACACTTACAGAAGCCTCCCGGGATTAACCAGGGAGATAAGGGAGGGGGTCAAAAATACCACAGTGTGTCGCAGACTAAGGGCAGGCCTCAGCTAGGGTCCTGCCCTGCCACCAGAGACAAGCTACCCCTGTGGAACCGCCAGGTCTGTCTACCCACAGGCTATTTCACAGTCTCCAGCTAAAACGGGCTCCTGGTGACGAAAGGCCACACAGCCACTAACTGGATCCACACACCCAGACTCCAGCGGTCCACACCCAGATGACTAACTTGTCACCATCTGAGTCACCCCATGAAAGATGCACAGCAGGACGGGGGAGATCTTGGATCCTGAAGTTTCCAGTGTAGCTGAGCAGAACATCTAACGGGCTTTGTCCAGGCTGGACACACCTCAGCAGTGGGTATTTACTCAGAGAGCAGTGTGTGGCCTGTTAGCTGCTTGCTGGAGACTCTCCAAATCTCACATTACAGGTGAGCTACATTTTTTGTGAAAACAAACTTAGACAGTAGATTTTTAAATGAGAGGTCTAATAGAAGCATCATCATTATCACAGTGGGATCTACTTCTCCAGACTGAAATTGCAAATAATGACACTAAAAACTAACGCGCCCCCCCCATGACAACGCAAACAGACTCCGTGAAAAGGGAATACATGCATAATATCCCTGGATGGGTGCCACTGTAGGCTCTCAGGCTAAGAACGTTTTCCCACAATAACACAAACACGAGCAAATAATGTAGGCTGGTTGTAAGGAAGTTCCTGTCTGCATTACAAACACACGGAAGGCCGTAGACAGCTCACAGTTAGGATCATTCAGTTGCCATGGCAATGCCCTTTCAGCAGCGAGGATCTGTTTGAGGTTCTTCCAGGTTCTATTCTTCTTGCCAGCTACTGCGCCACCGTGGCCAGAGTGCTCAAATTAAAAGTGGGTTAGAGAGACGAGTCAGTGAACGATGCGCCCAACTTGACGCCACGCCCCTCGGAGCCTTCGGGCACCTCTCAAGCTGTAAGCAACTATTTGTGCTACTGAGACCTTTAAAGGGATCTCACCATATACTGTAATCTTTGTTTAAAAGAACACAGTCCGTGGCTACTCATGATGGAGGAAGAATTGGGAGCTCAAGGCCAGTCTCAGTTACAGGATGAGTTTGAGGCCAGCCTGGGCTACAGGAGACTCTTTCTCAAAACAAAACAAAACAAAACAAAATGAACAAAGTATAAATAAGCAAACAAAAATAACTTAGTTTGGGGGCTATCTAAACCCCCAAGTTTTCTGGTGACAGAACAGAAATAAATGGCTATTCTTTACCACGGGCACAGGAAAGTGAATTCTTTACTGTGTTCACCATGGGTGAATTCACTCATGACCTCATCCCTTTAAAATCAGTTTACCACAAAGTTGGATGTGATCTTGAGATTACATTTCTAACTCCCCTCTGAGGGTGTGTCTCTCTGCCTCCTAATCACTAGTGGTCCTGGAAAATCCAAATAAGCTTCAATCATGGTATGGCAAGCTTTCTGGAAAATTTTTGTGATATAAAGATTAAAAAATAAGATGGAAACGACTACTAACATATTTGCAGACTCTGGTCACAATGGATTGCCAAGACTCAATAAACAAATAAATAAACCTTGAAAGGTATAATTTGGGTCGCTAAAAGTGATTATTTAGTACAGCCTTCATGAATGAAAGGCTTTAAAGGAATTAGTGGGGAGCACTCCTATTGTAGTTGTCTATTTCTAACTTCTTTTAAAACTTAAGGCCAACAGAGAGCTAGGGGAACAATCATGGGAAAGATCAAACTCAAAGGTCTACCTTCAGGGGAATTCTGAAAAGGCCTGGCACACTGGGAGATGACAAAGGGCCTTTCCCGTCCTGTCCCATGCCCCCTTACCTCCCCCCTCCCGTGGGAGGGAGTGCCAAGTGGAGTTGAGGGAGAAGGCAACCCCAGACCCAGCTCAGACGCAGCCACATCGGAGGCTGAGGCGCGGCTGTTCACCCCGTATTTGTGTAACACCTTATATGCTTACCACAAAGTTGGGATCCTTAAATGGCAATGGTTTGGCAGCTTTTTCCACAGGGCCAGAACTAAACTCAGAGGACGCCATTTTATTCTCATTCATGGCTTCAATGCTGACACCCTTAAAACACAGAAAGAAAAAAAAAAACCTTTGAAGCCAGATGTTCCTCACGTACGCCCTCAGCAAGACAGACATGCGAGCGGTCCAGGGTTCCAGCAGGTGGCCTGCCCTGGAGGTTGGGGAACACTATCTGTGTAAGCAGGAGCCACAGCAGACATAAGCAGGACCCCAGTGCCAGGTTTCCTGGTACCCCTAGTGCCAAGCACAGGGTCTGCTGTCCTCTTCCAGCTGACTCATTAATTCTCACAACGCTAAGGTGCCATTATCCTCATCATATAGGAAATCGAGGCAGAGAGGACTGGTTGAAGCCTACGCAGCACACAGCTTTTCAATTTAAATCCATTCCATGGTACCACATAGTCCTTCTTTCCTGATGATCTTGTCAACTATGCTTTGAAACAGGAAGGCTAGCCTTAGAGTCTGGACCTCAAGTGTCTAATTTGGTCAGAAGACCCAGGCTGGAGTTGGCTGCATTTGGGGACAACAGGACACGGAAATTCTGAAAAAGAGGAGGAAGTTGGAGGGATGTGGCCCAGCTGGCCGAAGCTGGGATGCAGTGTCCTGTCAAGCAGCTTTAAAACAAGCCTTTACGCTAACAACACAAGAGAAACAAGGTAGAAGCAAGAAATGCCATCTGGCTTATAAGACAAGCATCTTAGGAATACGGCATTGTCTTCACAGAGCGAAATGCATACGTGGCAGGGACAGGTTTCAGGAGTTTCCAGTATTGACACTGGTATGACCAAATCCTTTCCAAGACACTGAATACACCCACCATTCCAGAACACTCTCTTGCCCCTTCCTGGCCAATCCCTTCCAGTCTCAAAGACAACCAATGTTCTGATTCCTCCAATGAAGAAGTGTCTTGCTCAGACTGCCCTGTGGCCAGGTCTACAAGGAATTGTCTTCACCGATGACAGGAGACTAGTCTACTCTGGGTGGCGCTGTCCCTAAGTAGGCAGGCCTGGGCTATATAAAAAAGCCAGCGGAACAAACCAGGGGAAAAGTGAGCTTGTAAGCAGCAATTCCCATGGCTCCTAGAGTGAGTTCCTGTCCTGACTCCTCAGTGACGGACTGTTCCTGTCCTGACTCCTCAGTGACGGACTGTTCCTGTCCTGACTCCTCAGTGATGGACTGTTCCTGTCCTGTCCTGACTCCTCAGTGACCTGGAAGTGAGAGCTGAAATAAATCCTGTCCCACCATGAGTTACTTTTTCTCAAGGTGTTTATCACAGAAACAGGAATCAAACTAGTCCAGGCATGGTGACACACGCTTTCAATCTCAGCACGTGGAGGCAGAAGCAGGCAAATCTCTGTGAGTTTGAGACCAGCCTGGTCTACATAACAAGTCTGTTATGTAAGCTACACTGTGAGATCCTGTTTCACAGAAAACACCCCCCAAAAGAAAGAAATCAAACTAGAACAGCTGTCATGCTTTCATGTCTGTTGAGTATTTACCTAGGAGTGAAGCTTGTTCCTGAGAAAGTGCACATGTCATTCTATAAGGTATGTGTGTGTGTGCGCCCTCTCCATGGGATCTGTACCAGGAACAGGAAGAGGGCCATCCACTGTCACAACAGTTCTCAGAAAGGTCTCTCCTCAAAACACCTTCCCAAATTCCTCCCCAGGGTCTCAGCATGGGCCTGGACTCCAGTCTGCTCACCCCACTCCTCAGTATAGACAGCTGTCCCATCATCCTCCACCACGCCAGCCTTCCCAGTGCGATGCAAAACCCCAGCCTTAAGTGAAGCCAAGAGGTAGCAGCACATTCTTAACCCTGGGACTTGAGAGGCAAAGGCAGACAGATCTCTGTGAGTTCAGAGCCAGCCTGGTTTACAGAGCAAGTTCCAGGGCAGCCGGGGCTAAACAGAAATGAGAGAGAGGAGAGAGAGAGAGAGAGAGAGAGAGAGAGAGAGAGAGAGAGAGAGAGAGAGAGAGAGAGAGAGAGAGAGAGAGAGAGAGAGAGAGAGAGAGAGAGGCTCACACTGAAATCTATCCTGTATACTGCTACATCAGCACATCTACCCACCACGCCAGCTCCCTGGCCCTGAAATCTATGTTTTAAGAGGCCGTGACCCAGAGCAAAAGGAGAAAGTACAAGCTGCTAATTAGAGGCAAGTAAAGAACCTCAGGAGACCTGCAGTTAGGAGAAAGTGGTCATCTGGGACACACAAGCTCAACTGCTAAGAGGCAAAGGGAAGGGAAAGGGAAAGAAACCAGAGCCTTAATGCCCGACTATGACGGTGACAAGAGCAAGAGTTCTGTGGACAGTGTGAAGCCCAGCCCATCCTCCAGGCCCCCCCCCCCCCGTGAGAAGCAGTCACTGCGGCCAGTCAGTGTGGATTAGACAGACAGCTGTAAGGGTCTTCCAGGGAGAGTGCTTCTGCTGCCTGCAGTGGGGGTGAAGGTGGCCAGAGCTTGCTGTTCCGGACAGCAGTCTGGGGAAGACTCCAGAAGCGAAGATAGCCTGGGGATTGACTCAGTGGCTACACAAACAGTGGAGGGTTCTGTGCCATCTGGAGCCAGATAAACCCAGGAAGGTCACACTGGTCTCTACTTGTCTTCCTCTTCTTAAACTCCACTCCCAGGCTACTCCACCCTATTTCTCTGTTCCTCTCATTCAGTCTCCAGCCAGTACTGAGTTAGGGTGACAGGAAGGCCTTTAGTCACAGGGAAAACCAAGTCTATGATGCTCAGCTGTGGTAAAATACGATACACGATGATCTACGGTTTCCATGTTGTGAAAGAACCATTAACACTAAAAGGCTTTCAGACGTGGAATATCCAGCCCTGAGACATAAAAGACCCAAGACAGATGGAGAAGTGACGCCAAGAACTAAGGGCTATGCCCTTTTCCCATTACTAAGGAAGACAGTGTAAGTCCAGGGTAGACTAGTCTTGCTGTCACACACTGGGGTCAGCAAGGCCTAGGGGCTCCTCTGGCCTATGCTGAACCATAGAATCCTAACGATGGCTTCTGCCCACAGCCGCCCTCATGACAGGGACTCAGACGTCAGGACAACCTTGTCTTCCTCCGGTGTTTTTAAAAGGAAGGGGATGGTGTTTTTATCATCATTTAAGAATCAAACATAGCAGCCTGGGGGGTAGTGATTCACACTTTAATGCAAGCACTCAGGAGGCAGAGTCAGGTGGATCTCTGTGAGTTCAAGGCCAGCCTGGTCTATAGAGAGAGTTCCAGGACAGTCAGGGCTACACAGAGAAACCCTGTCTTGAAAAACCAAACAACAAAAAACTAAACAAACAAAAAGAATGAAACACAGAAACATCTACTAGTAACCTGGACTAAGAAGCCCAGCCCAGGTACATAGTGAATTTACAGTCAGCCTAGGCTATATAGCAAGACTCTGTCTAAACAGATTGCAAGGAAAGGAAAGGGAGGGGAGGGGAAGGGAGGGAAGGGAAAGGAAAGGAAGAAGACAGACACATTAACTACATAGCAAGACAATGGTGTCTCCATCCAAACCAAACCAAAAGTGGTCCATAAAGACCAGGGCCTGGTAAAACAGGTTTTTTGTTTTTTGGTTTTTTTATGAGACAGGGTTTCTCTGTATTGTTTTGGAGGCTGTCAGTCCAGCCCAGCCTCAAACTCACAGAGATCCGTCTGCCTCTGCCTCCTGAGTGCTGGGATTAAAGGCGTGTGCCACCACCGCCCGGCGGTAAAACAGGTCTTTAATCCCAGCACTGGGAGGCAGAGGCTGGTGGATCTCTGTAAGTTCTAGGCTAGCCTGGTCTATACACCAGAAGTTCCAGGTCCAGCAGGGGCTACATCATTGAGAGTCTAAATCAAAACACAAAAGGAAAACCAGAAAGACAAACACAAACAAAAATTCATCTTAATGTAGTGACTATATTCCTTGGTCTCGGCATAAAATAACATTTAAATCACACTACACAGCTCATGAAAGCTCAATTCAAGTGTACATAATGGAGCCGGGTGACAGCGCAAGCCTGTGTGTTGATATCCTGGCTTTCCTCTCCCCGGTCCTGGGCAACCTGGCCCTGTTCCTGCCCGGCTCCTCTCCTTCTCCTGCCCCAATGGTTTCTCGGCACCCGCCTGTCACTCAATGCCAGCCCTCTCCTGGGCCTATGCCTCCTCCTTAGGGAATCTTTCCTGGTCACAGGGCCTCTTAATCCTCGGGCTCTCTCCCCGCCCTGGGATCGATCTTCTCTGGGCTGCCTTCCCTCGCCCTAGGATCCATCTTTGACAGCTGATCGCTCCTCACTGACAGCTCAAAGGCTGTCAAGGGTTGCATGGCTGTGTCGTGCATGCATTAAGGTGGCTGCATAGAGACTCTGCATGCAGAAACCATACGGAAATGGGGCCTCAAGCAGCTGGGTCAACGGCAGCTCCATGACTCCAGTTTCAGCAGCCCTAACTGCTGAGACTCATTCTAAACCGCTCCTGTTCCCTGTATAAGCAAGCGCCTCCTGCCTGTTCTTTCCGTTTCTGCTCCCGATCTGTTAACACCCACCCCTCCCTTTGCTCCCTTTCCCAATAAACTCCATGTGGGATTGTTGAGTTTGGTGGATTCTGTTTCATCACCCGAAGTTGCAGCAAAGAACACTGTAAGCTCAACATTCAGGAGCTTAAAACTGAAGGATCAGTAATTGATGATCAGTAATTGAGTTTTAAGCCAACCTGAGAAACATGAGATCCTGCTTCAAGAAACAAACAAAACAAAACAAAAAAAAATTCAAAACACAAAACCCTCCGCCTTTAATCCCCACACTCGGCAGGCGGATCTCTGAGTTCAAGGCCAGCCTGATCTACAGACTTAGATCCAGGACAGCCAGGACTACACAAGGAAACCCTGTCTCGAAAAAAAGAACGCTATCTTATCTTGAGACTGCCAATGGTTTGTTTCACTGCATGCAAACATATTAACACAATAAAATGCTAAAATGGGGTGGAGGGGGTGCCAATTACCAACTGAGCTGCTGGGCAAACGCACCACACAAACTGAGAAGCTTAACCAGGAGCGTAACCATCCTCATGAAGTGGGAATGGGAAAACAAGACCCAGGCAAACACCGCAGGTCTCCGCTAGGTAGATAAGTCTGTTGTGCAAACCCTCTGTGCTCAGCACTTTCGTATTGACATCAACTTCTTTGTTGTTGTTGCTGCTGTTGTTTTTCGAGACAGGGTTTCTCTGTACCCCTGGCTGTCCTGGAACCCCCTCTGTAGACCAGGCTGGCCTTGAACGCGCAGATCCACTCGGCTAGACCTCAGCGTCTTAACCTCCAGATTTAGCACACGCGAGAAGGATGAAGGAAGCCACAGGTGTCAACCGCCTCTGCATCCCTCCACGTGCACTGGGGCGACCCCTCAGACTCTCATCGGGTGTATGCGGGAGAAGCTCCCTGGGCACCCGCAAACGTCCCCTGCAGAGACACAGAAGCCAAGTCCCCCACAGAGCGGGGCGGCCCTTGTACTAAGCCGATCATAACCTCCCACCTTACTCTATGACGCGGGCGATTTCTAACCTATGACTCAAAAACACACTCATTTCCACCAGGAACTACGACGCTCCGCTGCGGTAACCGAGCCTCGCCACCCACCCCCACCCGGCAGGGCTGCGCACGCGCCTCAGCTTCCGCCTCCCCCCCCCGCGCATGCGTTCTCCGCGCCTCTGGAGCCTGCGCAGGCGCCCTCGTCCCCCGGCTGGTGCGCGCAGTGTACCTGAGCGAAGCCGGAGGCGGACAGCTTTTTCTTCTTACTGGCGCCGTATCCCCCTCCGCTGCCGTTGTGGGATGGGCTGGCCGGCCTCTTCTTGCTGTTCCTGGCTATGGTGGGGGTAGAAGTGGCAGCCACGATTGGGATTTGAGCCGCCATCCTGCCCGCCGTGTGCCTGCGGCTCCCCGCCCCCACCCCTCCTCCGGCGGGCCCGGGCACTTCCGGCTCGGGGTTACTTCCGTGCCGATGCTCGGGGACTCCACCGGTCTCCGGGAGCTTAACGGACTCCTCCCGGCTGCTCCTGGGGGCGGGGCTCGGAAGTGCTTCTTCCGGGTCGGAAGGCGTGGAGCTGGTGGCCGCTGATGAGATTGTGAGCCTTGGTCTGGGCTCCTTCCTGAGGCTCCCAGCGAGCATCCGATCTTTCAGTAGCTTTTTTTTTCCTTCTTCTTCTTGGTTTTTAGACAGGGTGTCTCACTGTGTAGCTCTGGCTGCCCTGCAACTCTGTGTTGTAGACCAGGCTGGCCCCAAACTCGTAGTCGAGGTGGTGTTTGAATTCCAAACCAGCCTCCACCTCCCAAACGCCAGGATTACGGGCAGGTGCCACAATGCCCATCTCAATGGCTGTGAGAATAAAGGAAGTTAAATATCAGTGCACTGACAGATTGCTGAGCTGTTTTCTCGGTCTTATTTCTTAGCTGGGCTGAAGTTTCTGTATCAGAACTGCACAATAGGGTGTTCTTCCGTGTTTTAGGGGTCCAGAACCGCTTGTTGGCATGCAACTGCTATCCCTCCTCCTCTGCTCTCCTCACTGAGTGCACATCAACAGACAAAATCTTACATGCACATGTCAGGGTGGCCGCAGGTCTAAACCAATTCATGCATCTCAATGTCCCACACTGCACTGCATTTCTCCAGAGCCAATTTTTATGCCATTATCTAACTTAGTGGCTTCTAACTAGGTGGGACATGTCTTTCGGCTAGGATTGAATAAAATCTCTGTGAGGTGACTACCAGTTGTGTTTCGACTAGTGATAAATATGTCTGCCCCCCGTTACAGTGACTTGCGAGTTGCTGGTGCATTATAATTATGTTTGGGTGAAGTAAAGAATAAAGGAGTGAATCTACATGTTAGTAGTCAAAGCAGCAATACACAGCGATGTTTGAAACAGGCTGCAGACTGGAAGGGCCAGTTAGGGAACAAGGAACTGACAATACTATTAACTATGCCTCTGGTGTTGAAACGCTATTTCCTGTGCCAGATCTCCAACCCCCTGTCCTCATCTAAATGTATTCTCCTTATTCCTTGTCTCAGAGACTCGTGCCTTCAACCAGCAGTCACTCCAGCAAACCTCTTATTCCAGCCACCCTCTCAGCTTAACTCTCATTTTCACTGTTCCTACCCCAGTGACTCAGTCCCCCATGTGATCCCTGTGACATCTCCAAATGGAAGTCTGAGTTGTCATCATTTCCTAATCTCCTTGGCTCCAAGGTCCTCACTTCCACTGGCTGCTAGAACAGGCTTTTAAATCTGACTGTAGCACTTAGCTTTGTTATATACAGGGACCCTTTATCCTTTAGATAAAAACCAGATAACTTTTTAGTTTGGCACATTAAGTCCTTAATAACTGAAGCTTATCCCTCTTCTTTTGTTCAATTCCCAACAACAAAATCTTTGTGCCCTGCCAGGGACACATTCTAAATTTCCTAGAATATTCTGGTCTCTAAACTCATACTTTTGTTTCCATTGTTTCCTTTCCTGACACTGCCTAGCTCCTGGCCTGGTGACTACCCTTTTTTTTTTTTTTTTGTCTCAGTTCAAGTTGTACTTCTAATAAGCAGCTATTCCCTTTGCCCCAGCCATCCGGATTGTGTGCATGTGTCTCTGAGGACTTGGAACATGGGGCATCCTATTGGCCTGCTATTGTAACGTTTACTGAGCTCAAATTTAAAGGAGCCAGACAAGTGGATGCACCACCATTTGGCTTCCAATTATCAAATTTAGTCTTGGTCTCGCTGCTTTCTTCCTGAAATTCTCCCCCGGTTTCTAAAATGCCACCATCCTCTTACTTTCTTCCTAAACTGCAGTTGTCTCTTTGACAGATGTCTTGTTTTACCAAATGCTTTGTGATGCTACTATAGGATTTTCAAAATCATTTCATATGGTCAAATTGCCCTGGATGTACAGGTTTCCCAGCAGTCATCATGAGTAGCTATAGTTGAACTGGAATCTTCTTGCTCCATTCTTTTACCCTGAGAATTCCTTGATGTCCGAGACCCTCTGCCCTCCCAACCCCATACATTTCCCAGTTGTTCCAATAACTCCTCGGGCCTGAGTTGCCATCGCCCTTACGAGCTGTCTCCCTGCTTCCAATTTTGGTGCCTATGGCTGAGGCGTTACATTCAATTCCAGAAGACAGACTCTGTGTTTTCAGATAATGCTGCCTATTTGAAATCCTCCGTTGACTCCTTGCTGTCCCTAGAATGAAGCTCATGGTCCACAATCAGAAACCTGCCTCCTCCTCAGGTCTCTGCACTCCCCTCGGTTTCCACTTTTGTCAGTCTCCAACAGTTGGCTGTGTTCCCTCCTCCCCCAGGGCCTAGACACACATTGCTCCTCGTGTATGGACGTTACTTTTCTTCTAGCCCCACCCCCTATAGGAGAGGTTCTGTGTGTAGCTGTCAGGGTCATCAAGGATTGCGCAGCAGTGTCAGCAGATGGTGGAGCTGGAGGACAGCTGCATAAGCTGCAGAGTCTTTAAGTTGGCCAGAAACCTGCTCTGCATCCACCATGGAAGCATCGGTCACTGCCCACCGCCAGCACGTGAAGAGGCCTCTGTGAAGCGACCTCTACACCTCACCGCATGCTAATCTCACATGTTACCTATGAGCATCGGAGTGGAGCAGTGAACTGAACAGCTAGCCGACTTTCCCCTAAACGGCCTGTCATCCCTGGGAACTTGGAAGGCCTGTCTACCTCTGTTGCATGATGTGAGCTGCCTCTGCAACCTCCTTATCGGTCCCTGAAGCTCCTGGGACCCTCACCAGTGCCACAGTTCTTTCACTAAAGGCTGCTGAAGCCTTCCTGCGATACTGGTGACAGAAGAGCGAATGGACCAGCTAAGCAGATTCTTGATCCCAGTTAAGACTTACAGATTACAAGTAAATAACTTACTCGTTAAGCTGTCCCATGTTTTGAGACATAGAGTGCCTGGTTTATTGTCTCGGAAAAAAGCCCAGGAAATACAGTGGATATTTAGGATCAGGCTGCTGTTGCTAGCTGGAGGACAAGCTGTGCGTTTTCTCTTGATAATGTTTGAGAAATATGCAAATCATAGCTTGCCATACAAAGCATGAGTGATCCAGGACTCCTCAATGGTGGGGAAAACCTTGAAACTGCTGGTCAAGATGCCGAGAAAGCTCTCCCAGCTACCATGAGCCCCTTGCCCCTCAGTCCGTCACAATATGTGAACGTGTGGGACTCCCCAAACCACAGCCTCCTGCCCACCACCTCCTAGGACCCTGCGAAGATTCACTGAACCTAGGAACAACGTCTTCTGTAGCCCTGAAAAGGGCACAAGCCCATTCAAACAAGAGACTCTGCGGTCCTCGGTCCCTAGGGTAGGTTCTCCAAGTGTAAGCTCAGGACCTGGAGAGAGTTTCCCTGTTTCTACCTCTCTGCTCCGTGTAAACAGGCAAAGCAAAAGGAGGGTCTTTCTTCTTGCACAGTCCAGGCCGCCACCTGTAGAACAGGTCTTAGTTCAGAGAAGGTTCCGGATGAACTTGAGCAAGGGGTAGGGAACTTCAGTTTTCCTCACTGCTGGGCTGGGGGAGAGGATGGTAGGTCCAGGAGGAGACACGCTGTTATCTGGGATGCTGGGAAACTGATGTGCTCTTCATCTCTTAGGTCCAGGAGGAGACATGCTGTTATCTGGGGTGCTGGGAAGCTGGTGTGCTCCCCATCTCTTGGGACAAGTTACCACAGAAAGTGGGGAGAGGAGGAAACCACACCATGTGCTAGGTGACGAGAAGGTATCAGTTCAGAAGGCCCACGCAGGGCTTGGGAAAGCTGTTCTCTACGGTGTTGTGAGGGACAGCCTCCTGACAAGATGCTAGCACCCAGCCCACTTCCAGGACACCCGTGATAGGCCCTGCAATGTGAAAGGTCAAATTTTGCTCCTTTCCACAGACAGGGCCGGCACACCCAGGCTCGTGCAATCTCCTGTCTAAACTTGATCCCCACAGGTTGTTGCCTTGCAAAGTCTGAATAAAGGAAAATAGATTTTATGGGTCATTCTGCTTCCTGTAATGACTTCTTAAATGTTAAGTAAACACCAATTTAACATTACAAGTATAACCCCCAAAGGGCTGACAAAAGACTTCCCACAGAGTAGGCTTCTAACCTTTCATTGTGAGAGGTGGGATCCTGCTGGCGGAGTGGCATTTCCCTAGTGCGCTTGGTACCCATCCCCTCGACTCCGGCTCTGGGCACTGGTCATCCCTTCACTCTTACCAGAGGCCCCACCCATCACTTAGCATGAGCCGTTAGTTTTACACATACTCTCTTGCATACCGTAGAGAAAGAAACCAATGATTATTGTAATTCTTCCATGTCTGAGGTTCTCTTCTTTGTCAAACTTGATAATCCCCAACTGTGACGCATTTGCCTTCTTAAATTATTGGCCTGTTTCGTTTCCCCTGTATCATTTTCCTAACTGCTGCTATGCTGTTCATTTTGTTTATCCTTATTTACGCCCAAGACTTGGCTTCTATTGCAGCACCAGCACATTGAGATAGTACAGAGAAGGTCAACCAAAAAGCTTCGGAGAATGCTGCTTATGGAATTAGTAGAGATAAAGACTTGTTTTGTAAACTTCCGGGGGGGGAGGGACAAAAAACAAAACAAACAAACAAACAAAGCAAAGTAAAAACTCCCAAAGGCTGAGAAACCCAAGCCACATCCAGGACGTTCTTACTCGACCCTCATCAGACATCCCTGCTCCTGCCCTTCAGAGGCCGAGCCAAGTCCGGCTCCCACCGTGCTCCAGCAGGGGCACAAGGGACAGGGCAAGTGGAGGGCATGGCTGGGGGAGGGACACCCGTTCTGGGCAAAGGGACAGAATGAAACAGGTTGGCAGCAGTCCTTCTCGGGGACACAGCCCGAGACAGAGCCCAGAGGTTGTGGAACAGAGATACTGTTCTCTGCCTCACCCAGGGAGCCGTTTGCCAGAGCCAGAGACTCAATGCTGTCGTGTTTGTTTGCTGTTCGTTTGTCTTAGATCTTACAAACGGCACGGGACGACCCACGTCCTGACTC